AATTCTATTTGCTGACGACACGACATTCATTTACTCCAGTCCTGACCCCCCTTGCTCTAAATGTCACAGTGAATACTGAGCTAAATAAAGTCCATCACTGGCTAACTGGCAACAAACTCACCCTCAATATTGACAAAACTTTCTATATTTTGTTTGGCAATAAATCCTCAAATCAATAAATCTCAGGATTAACAATACCCAAATTTGTAACAAAGTAGATGGCAAATTCCTTGGTGTTCTCAGTGACTCATAAACATGTCCAACCCACGCTTGAAACGGTCGAGGGACCCCACCACCACGTTACGCGGTAATTTGTCCCACAAATCAACAACCCTGTTACTGAACCAGTATTTTCCCAAGTCTTTCCTAAATCTAAACTTATCCAATTTAAATCCATTGTTTCATAAGAACAAAGGTAACTGCAGAAGGCCTATTGGCCCATACGAGGCAGCTCCTATCTATAACCACCCAATCCCACTCATATACATGGCTTGAAACAATCGAGGGACCCCATCTCCACCACGTTACGTGGCAATTGGTTCCACAAATCAACAACCCTGTTACTGAACCAGTATTTACCCAAGTCTTTCCTAAATCTAAACTTATTCAATTTATACCCATTGTTTCGTGTTCTGTCTTGAGTTGATAATTTTAATACCCTATTAATATCCTCGTTGGATATATTAATATCCAACGAGGATATATAATGGATATATTAATATCCATTCATCCACGGACCATAACCCACTAGTCTTCCTGACTCAAATGAAGGGTAAGAATAAACGCATCCTCAGGTGGGCATTGTACCTACAGGACTTCAATCTTTCCATTACCCATCTACCGGGCAGGCTCAACGTGATAGCCGACGCTCTGTCCCGGTTGCCTGAATAACATTCACCTGAGCCACAGGAAGCCATGCTGTATTGTGACTACCAATTTTTGTCAAGTACCATTCAAGCTGTCATTGCAATCAATCTTATATTGTTTCTGCTGTATTGTGCCTACCAATTTGTTGTCAACTACCATTTTAAGCTGCCATTGCAATCAATCATAGCTACCTATGTGCTTTAATATACTGTACCTATAATTTTCTCTCATCTTCTTTTTTTTCATTCCATGTAACCTGTTATCATTTTTTTGTCTATAAATTTTGCAAGTATTTACCTCCTTAAAATTTTCTTAGATTAAGGACCTGCCCGAAACGCTGCGCGTGCTAGTGGCTTTACAAGACTGTAATTACCATATTTGTATCCTCACATTCCTTATGTACATTCTTGTATATGCATAAATAAATAAATAAAATAAATAAATTTAGTATTTACTCGCTGCATAGCGATATGGGCATCGACGCACTATTGCAGGCATTTGGGGCCACCTCCAGTCCACTATCAGCTCTGTGTTTATTGACTTATAATTGGTCTTATTATTAGTAGCTGCTGTGCCGGAGCTTACTAACTACTGGACGCCATCTTCACTATTTCTCTTAGTTCCCGCTGAGGAGGCGTCCGATTGTTCCATGAGTATGGACTTATTGTATCTGGCAGTACCATTGCTAGGTTTCTAAGTTCCTCCCCACTCAGTTATGCTTGGGACTTTATTCAAGTCTACCATTACTGCCTTTCGCAACAGGTGCCGCATCCAGTTAACCCCACTCTTGCAGCCTAAGCTGCCACCAGTACGCATATTGTGTGGGTCCACCACAACCGTGCCTTTGCCTTACACGTTACCACTGCATGCCAGCTTCTGCCCCCCCCCCCCTTACTGCCTTAATACTTCCAGATCCACGATAGAACGCGCGGGATGTTGTTGCTCTGCCACTTTGAGGCCGCCTCGCGGCCAGCGGGCCTCGCCCTTTCGGGGGTGGGGGGTCCGGCCAGCTGGCCTGCGGTGGGAGTGCAGCGCCGGTCCCCAAGTGTCCCGCTGTCCGCAGCTAATACTTTGCCCAGTCTAGGTGCTAATAAGCCCTACCTTTAGTCAGGAAACCCTTCTACTTATTTCTGGTCGGCCCCGTTAAGTGTTATGTGGCCTATTCACTTGATTGAACATTTGTGTCCTGACTCTTATAACTAGTTTTATATAATTACATTACATTGACATTAGGTTTCTGCAGAACGTGTTTACCATGTCACTAGGCTAAGCTTACTCAATTAATACGAGTGTACATTTAAGTTAAATATTAGTACTCAGTAGACATGGATATGTTACATTTGTTCCTACTTATTATTTACATGTTCTGCAGAATTTAATTTACCATCTCCAATTTGTAATAAATTAAGCCTCAAACTGTTGGCGTCTTTTTCCCCCTGAGCAGAAATATGAAAGTTTTGCCTTTCTTATGATACTTGTATGCATTGATGAGTACCTTTTAACTACTTCCTTTGTAACTAGGCCAATCCTAAGTTTCTTTTCATATTCATGTTTCTTGTTGATTGAGTTGAGAATGCCACTTGTGAGCCATGGATTGTTTAATCTTTTGTCAGTTACTTGCTTGGTAAGAAGGGGACAATGAAGGTTGTAGAGGCTTAGAGTTTTGGAGAGGAAGAGGTTAGCTAATGAATTTATATCCTGAGAATTATTGAATTCAGAATCCCAGTTAATATTGTGAAGTGCATTTGAAAGATTGCCTAAAGCTGTGTAACCTGAATCTAAGTTTCTTGCTTTTTGGTGGTGTTATGTCCATGTTCGCTATAAGAAAAGTAGGATAATGGTCAATTGTTCTGTCGTAGATTATACCAGATACAAGGGGATGAGCTCTTATGTTAGTCCATATGTGATCCAAGGTGGTGGCAGAGTATCAAATTGCAGTGAACGTGTAGATGAATCTGACGAAAGAGCAGCTTTCGTGGGCGTCCCTGTAGGACAAGCAATGCCCTGGCAGCGACGGAGAGTCGGCAGGACAGGCTGTAGATCCTACATGATGTAATCATTGATGAGGCTGTCAGATGAGTGAGTAACGATCATGGAGCAGCAAGCCGTAGTAGATGAAAATGCAGAGATGATCGAAGTGAAAATCTCAATTTTATACAGAAAAAAAATACAGTCTCCGTGGTGTAGTGGTAATTAAGACACTCGCCTGGCGTTCCGCGAACGCTATGTCATGGGTTCGTATCCTGGTCGGGGAGGATTTACTGGGCGCAATTCCTTAACTGTAGCCTCTGTTTAACGCAACAGTAAAATGTGTACTTGGATGAAAAAACGATTCTTCGCGGCAGGGGATCGTATTCCAGGGACCTACCCGAAACGCTACGCGTACTAGTGGCTGTACAAGAAATGGTCACTGCTTCACAAGCGGGGATTTTTCTGGCGGGGGAGAAAGAAACAATTGCGCAGCGCGCCCCGCGGCGTTGCGCGGGCAGTTTGGGGCCGTATAAATACGGGCGCACAATGGAGCTCTGCCTCACTCCGCCCGCCCTCGCCGCTGCCCTCGCAAAACCGGGCATTACTTTATATATTTACTTTATATATTTTGATATAAACGTTATATATTTACTTTATATATTTACATGTTCAATATTAAGTTTAATATAATATCAACTTTGTTATAAGTCTATAATATAAACCGTGTTTAATATAGACTTTATATAATTACTTACTTTATATTTGAACTTTATATATTTACATGTTCTGCAGAATTTAATCCTCAATAAACTTTAACGCCGCAATTGTTTCTTTCTCCCCCGCCAGAAAAATCCCCGCTTGCGATCAAGCAGTGACCATTACTCGCTACAATCCTATCCCTATTTACAGGTAACGGTTTTTCCACCTGCCTATCTTACTGTGAGCTGTAGTCACCGTATATAAGCAAGCGATTTGAGAATAGCAAACCAGTACAATCTCCAATCAAGAATGTAGTACTCGGTGTAGGTAGTTCTAATCGGCCCAAGACGCTACAGCTTCGACACAGAGCAGGCAGCAGACTACGACCTCATCCAGTTAACGCTCTCCCACATAGAGCTCCGCGACTCCGGCCACACTCAGCTCTCTGCTCTGCTGCAGGCTTCGTCTCAACGTCTACGACACTGCTGTATCCAGGACTACTAAATAAATATGAAACTCACTAAACACTGTGTATCTAATCAACCCAACAACGTAACATAATCGTACGTTACAATCTTTATCAATCAATCAGCGGACAGTACAATCTCCAGTCAAGAATGTAGTACTCGGCGTAGGCAGTTCTAATCGACCCAAGACGCTACAGCTTCGACACAGAGCAGACAGCAGACTACGACCCCATCAAGCTACAATGCTCTTGCTCCCCGAGTTCAGACACTCGCAATTCCCAATCGAGCTGCCACGCTCTCCCACATAGAGCTCCGCGACTCCGGCCACACTCAGCTCTTTGCTCTGCTCCAAGCTCCGTCTGAACGTGTACGGCAATGCTACCAACCGACTACTGTAATCAAGACTACTAAATAAATATGAAAACTCACTAAACAATGTGTATCTAATCTACCCAACAACGCAACATAATCGTACGTTACGGATTGATGGAGATTAAGCCACCTAAAAGGTGGCACGGGCATGAATAGCCCGTAAGTGCTATTCCCTTTTGAGGGAATAGCACTATTCCCTAATAGCCCTTTTGAGCCATTACCAGTAACAATAGATGATACTAGAGATCTGTGAAGGTGCGACTGCAACCTGCGTGACGGGAGATGTCTCCCGTCCCGCTATTCCTCATATCGCTTGCTTATATGGTGACTACACCTCAGCTCCCTCCAACAAGATGAGAAGAGTATTACATGTAATTGGGGAAAGGATTGTAGCTTTTGTAATTAGTGCTAATTAGTTATGCTCTTAAGATAATGAAATAATGGAACGAGTATAAAATTAACTCGCTACAAATTATATGATCAAGTGCTATGTATATATTCTTATCTTATTATCATCTTCTATTGTCTTGTTTATAATTGTATCTTGGAAGACGAGAACGGCAGCGAACTCACGCCAGCGCATATGTATATACGAAATGATTCAGTTATACAAACTTGTATGTGAACGAACTAGTTGTTTTGTGTACTAAATGCGACCACTCACCAGCTGGTGACAGTAAACACTGGACCAGGCCAGGGTGACCTGCCTCCTTCACCAGGCGCGGAGTATGTGAGACTTGTCAGGTGAGTCCCTGAGTATGTGAGTCCCCTGAGTATGTGAGACTTGCCAGGTGAGTCCCTGAGTATGTGAGTCCCCTGAGTATGTGAGACTTGTGAAGTGAGTCCTTGAGTATGTGAGACTTGCCAGGTGAGTCCCTGAGTATGTGAGACTTGTGAAGTGAGTCCTTGAGTATGTGAGACTTGCCAGGTGAGTCCCTGAGTATGTGAGACTTGTCAAGTGAGTCCCTGAGTATGTGAGACTTGTCAAGTGAATCCCTGAGTATGTGAGACTTGCCAGGTGAGTCCCTGAGTATGTAAGACTTGTCAAGTGAGTCCCTGAGTATGTGAGACTTGTCAAGTGAATCCCTGAGTATGTGAGACTTGCCAGGTGAGTCCCTGTGTATGTGAGACTTGCCAGGTAAGTCCCCTGATTATGTGAGACTTGTCAAGTGAATCCCTGAGTATGTGAGACTTGCCAGGTGAGTTCCATGAGTATGTGAAACTTGTCAAGTGAATCCCTGATTATGTGAGACTTGCCAGGTGAGTCCCTGAGTATGTGAGACTTGCCAGGTAAGTCCCCTGAGTATGTGAGACTTGTCAAGTGAATCCCTGAGTATGTGAGACTTGCCAGGTGAGTCCCTGAGTATGTGAGACTTGTCAAGTGAATCCCTGAGTATGTGAGACTTGCCAGGTGAGTCCCTGTGTATGTGAGACTTGCCAGGTAAGTCCCCTGATTATGTGAGACTTGTCAAGTGAATCCCTGAGTATGTGAGACTTGCCAGGTGAGTCCCTGAGTATGTGAGACTTGTCAAGTGAATCCCTGAGTATGTGAGACTTGCCAGGTGAGTCCCTGAGTATGTGAGACTTGTCAAGTGAATCCCTGAGTATGTGAGACTTGCCAGGTGAGTCCCTGAGTATGTGAGACTTGTCAAGTGAATCCCTGAGTATGTGAGACTTGCCAGGTGAGTCCCTGAGTATGTAAGACTTGTCAAGTGAGTCCCAGAGTGTGTGAGACTTGCCAGGCGAGTCCCTGAGTATGTGAGACTTGCCAGGCGAGTCCCTGAGTATGTGAGACTTGCCAGGTAAGTCCCTGAGTATGTGAGACTTGCCAGGTGAGTCCCTGAGTATGTGAGACTTGCCAGGCGAGTCCCTGAGTATGTGAGACTTGCCAGGCGAGTCCCTGAGTATGTGAGACTTTGCTAGGCGAGTCCCTGAGTATGTGAGACTGCTAGGCGAGTCCCTGAGTATGTGAGACTTTGCTAGGCGAGTCCCTGAGTATGTGAGACTTTGCTAGGCGAGTCCCTGAGTATGTGAGACTTTGCTAGGCGAGTCCCTGAGTATGTGAGACTTTGCTAGGCGAGTCCCTGAGTATGTGAGACTTTGCTAGGCGAGTCCCTGAGTATGTGAGACTTTGCTAGGCGAGTTCCTGAGTATGAGAGACTTGCCAGGCGAGTCCCGCAGTATGTACTCTCCTAATTGTACTCACCTAATTGTGCTTGCCAGCTTGTGAGTATGTGAGACTTGCCAGGTGAGTCCCTGAGTATGTGAGACTTGCCAGGTGATTCTCTGAGTATGGGATACTCGGTCCGTCTAATTACCCAAAGCTACCCAAATTTTCTCAAAGCTACCCAAAGCTTCCTAGTATTATGTAAATAATGAAGAAATATGATATATTTACTTTTTGTATTGTTGGTCGTTAAATGACTGCCGCTGCCACTATGACTTGTGCTCGCTGCGCTCTTTACTCAGAGCTGTATTACAGCCCCCAACTACCCCCAGATGATGTAGAACACCACCTACAGGCAGCTAAGTTCATGGAATCCAAGCATGTCATAACACATCGTCAGTAACCAACCCAATCAACTCATTCCATCGCAAACAAAATTCAAAACAATCCTTTCCTGCTGTGAGTACCAGTGCATGCTGCCCGCCTCCGCTCTGCCTGACACAAGTTTCAGCTACAACATATACCCCAGACCATACTCGACCAACTATGTCTTTCAAAAGCAAGGCTGTGCAGGGAAAAAAAGAACAACAAATCTCCAAACAGGGCATCTACCCTGACCAACACCAACAGCCATCGTGTTTCGCCCTCTGGGAGCTCTGGGGTCCGGGGCTGCAGCTCTGCTCTCCCCTCTACTCCACCAATGAGCCAGGGGGGGCTGTGTCCTCTCAATCTTCTCCAAGTTCCTCGCTAGCATCCCACTTTTCGCATTTCAAGTGTGCTGCTGGTCCCTCGCTGGATTTCCTAACTGGGCAGAGAATCAATGGTTTAAAAAGCTGTGTTTGGTTATTGAGGCTCAAATTACAATCATTCAGAGCCTTCAAAATGAGGATCAAGCGAACCGCGCAAACCTACATCAACAGCAACAAGACATAATTCTTCTCCGCAAGGAGGTTAGAGCTTGTCAAGCTAGCTAATAATAACTCCAGTATGACAAACGATTTCTGTGAGGAAAATACGTGGCTGAAAACTAATGAATCCATCAAAAAACAAGAGGAAGCTCTCAACAAAATTAATGTATGTATCGATACTTTCCCCGCCCAATATTCTATCTCCCAGGACGAACAAGACCAGCAAGAGCTGCTTGACTCTGTTGTTGTGTCGTTTCCTTCCATTACTATGGAAAGTGAAGTTGAGAAGTGTATTGATATAGTACATACTCTCATAAAAAATTAACTGCATTATAATCTCAACGAAACGGGCATAATTGCTGCATACAGAGTAGGCAAAAAGAATCTCTCAGGACAAAACCAGAGAAAAATTTGCCTCAAGCTAGCTACCCAGTCCATAAAATCTGATCTTGTCCAGTCAGCAGTATCTTCACGTAAGGGGATTTACATCAACGAGTGCTTGACCAGAAAAAGGCAGGAACTCCTCTTCCGCCTGCGTCAAATTCGAAAAAATAACCCGGGTGTGATCCAGCAGGGCTTCATGAGAGATGGTATGATAAAAGTGAGAAAAGTGTCTTCAGGTAAAATATTTACAATCAGAAATGAGGATACTTTCAAAACATTTCTCAACCAGTGTGGTTTGACTGACCTGGCTGATCCTATCAGTTAGTCAGGCCAGACTGACCTGACATAACCCTTTCACCTGTGCCTCTTCTTATTTAACCCCTTAACTGCGCGGCCTCCAAATATGACATCCCCCAGTGTGCAGGAAATAAATTCTCTTGAAAAAATTCTTCTCTGGGGGGAGCCCCTTCGGCTTCCCGGAGCTTATCCAGGCTGATATGCTAATGTCAGGCTTTGGCATCAGTTATGTGTATGGAGTTCTATGGGCTAACCGGGGACCAGGAGCCAGAACCTGGCCCCCTCAGAGAAGCAAGGGAAGCAATGGCCTATAGAAACCCCTGTGTGGTTGGAGGCATTCTATGTCTGCTATCGACCGGGTCAGGCACCCAGAAAGGTAAGCGTCCCAAAACAAACCCCTATTCTGCTGAAAATTGCTACCGCAAGCCGAACAGGTGAATAGAACTCCACTAAAAGAAACGAGCAAACGATCATGACGTCACACGTCGCTGCGCCGCTGTCTGCGCAGCTCCTCCCTCCCTGGGAGGGGGAAGGGGGAACCCCAGACCTACCTCACCGGCTATCCACCATCAGTTCTTCGGCTGATGCTAAAGGCTGAGGTTATTTGCTCTGGCTTCGGTGGTTGTTTCAGCACTGTTACCTTGAGGTTACCTTGAGGAGCTTCCGGGGCTTAGCGGGACGCTAAGCCCGGTCGTCGACCAGGCCTCCTGGTTGCTGGACTGATCAACCAGGCTGTTGGACGCGGCTGCTCGCAGCCTGACATATGAGTCACAGCCTGATTGATCAGGTATCCTTTGGAGGTGCTTATCCAGTTCTCTCTTGAACACTGTGAGGGGTCGGCCAGTTATGCCCCTTATGTGTAGCGGAAGCGTGTTGAACAGTCTCGGGCCTTTGATGTTGATAGAGTTCTCTCTCAGAGTACCTGTTGCACCTCCGCTTTTCAACGGGGGTATTCTGCACATCCTGCCATGTCTTCTGGTCTCATGTGATGTTATTTCTGTGTGCAGGTTTGGGACCAGCCCCTCTAACATTTTCAACGTGTAAATTATTATATATCTCTCCCGCCTGTGCTCAAGGGAGTACAGATTTAGGCTCTTTAGTCGGTCCCAATAGTTTAGGTGTTTTACTGAGTGAATTCTAGCAGTAAAGGATCTCTGCACGCTCTCCAGGTCGGCAATTTCTCCAGCTTTGAAAAGGGCTGTCATTGTGCAGCAGTACTCCACTCTAGAGAGCACAAGCGTTTTGAAGAGTGTCATCATCGGTATAGCATCTCTAGTGTGAAAAGTTCTTGTTATCCAACCTGTCATTTTTCTTGCAGTTGTGACGGCTACTTTATTGTGTTTAAAGGTAAGGTCTTCCGACATGAGTACACCCAGATCCTTTACATTGCCTTTTTGTTCTATGTCATGATTTGCCTGAGTTTTGTACGTGGTTTCCGTTTTTATATTTTCATTTTTTCCATAGCGCATGAGCTGGAACTTATCTTCGTTAAACACCATATTATTTTCTGTAGCCCATAGAAAGACCTGATCTACATCTGACTGGAGGTTTGCCGTGTCCTCTATGTTGCCTACTCTCATGAAGATCCTAGTGTCATCTGCAAAGGATGATACAGTGCTATAGGTTGTGTTCTGGTCTATGCCCGATATGAGGATGAGAAAAAGTACTGGAGCAAGCACAGTACCCTGGGGGACTGAGCTCTTCACGGTTGATGGGCTGGATTTTATTTTGTTGACTATTACACATTGGGTTCTGTTGGCCAGGAAATTGTAGATCCATCTGCCTATTTTTCCGGTAATTCCTTTTGAACGCATTTTATGTGCAATAACGCCATGGTCACATTTATCAAAAGCTTTTGCGAAATCTGTGTAAATTACATCAGCGTTTTGTTTGTCTTCCATAGCATCTAATGCCATATCATAGTGGTCCAGCAACTGCGACAGGCAAGAGCGCCCTGTTCTGAAACCATGTTGTCCGAGGTTATGGAGATGCTGTGATTCCATGTATTTTGTGATCTTACTTCTTAGCACTCTCTCAAAATTTTTTATAATGTGCGATGTTAGTGCTATCGGTCTGTAATTTTTTGCCTCTGCCTTATTTCCTTCTTTATGAAGTGGTGCTATCTCTGCTGTTTTTAGTATATCAGGAATAACGCCAGTATCTAGGCTTTGTCTCCACAGAATGTGGAGGGCCTGCGATAGTGGTTTTTTACAGTTCTTGATGAATATGGAGTTCCAAGAATCCGGGCCTGGTGCAGAGTGCATAGGCATACTGTTTATGGCTTATGGTTTATCACTCTACTGTACCTAGAGTGTGGTGACTATCTTTTATGTTTAAATGACAATGTGATGTCTTACTACAGACAAGTGTTAAAATGTAGGGAAAAACAAGTGTCTTTAGACAGATTCTTAGTAAGACAAGCAAGTCTTAGTGGTATGCAGGTAAAACGTGCCAGTGTGTGCACACCAGTGAAGTCCTCACTGCCTGATGTTATAATGGAAGGGGACTCCCCTTCCAAACAATAACACCTATCCTCCTCCTTCCTCCTCACCATCTTCCATATGCTAACAGCAGTCATCAGCAAGGGTAAGTAATAACTTGAACATAGTTTTGTAGGTTTATTTAGATGAATTAGGTAGGAAATTTAGTTTGAAGTGAGGTTTTTGGGTAGTCGGGAACGGATTAATTCATTTCCTATTATTTCTTATGGGGAAATTAGCTTCATATTACGAGTTTTCGGAATACGATCTGTCTCCAGGAACGGATTAAACTCTTAAACCGAGGTACCACTGTATAGTGTAATAACAGCAAAACTATTTGTTTATTGTTTTATGAACATAAGTGAATCACTAATATGCACACCATACTTTTGAGTATAGCGATGATTCACCCCTTTTATTATATAAATCTATCACACTACACACTATTGAATAATATTAATGCAAAAAACTAAGGAAAAATCAATCGGAGACATTGAAATAATTAGGTAATAATAGCTTTGTGGCAACTCCCACCTGATAGCTCGGGTTATGCTGACTGCCTCTGATGATTGCTCTGTCAATGCCCGCATTTTTCCAGACTTCCTTAGCGTATTGTGGCCAAAATATGTCGCCTACGATTTTTTTCCCTGTGCTCAGGAAACACAAATTAACATTCTTAGAATTTTTTTTCTTGTGCACAGGGGTGTAAATCTCCTCAGGACCCCTTAGCAACTTATGGGTTAAAAATACTACAAACTAATTGAAAACAAAAGAATGAATTTGACTGATAAGGGGACATAAAGAACAAAGAATGACAATAGTTATATGTTGTGTTAAGAACCCTTCCGTAACTGGGTTCTTTTAAAACTATTATCCTACTAAAGATCAGAGGTCCCTAACCTTAGTGGAAATGTAGTGTAATGTTTAACCCTTAAATTGCGCATCGCATCATATGATGCTTTGACCGACTTGCAGTAAATTGCGCATCGCATCATATGATGCTTTGGAGTATTACGCAAGATTTAAACGGCCCGTGGATACACGGGGTTCACCACACCTTCATCAGGGCTCTTGTAAACAGACGCCATTTTTAAAAAAAATCGTGGGCCAAATTCCCGGGTGTTAGGGGCCTCAGTATTGAGTGAGCTACCAAGCCTGATGCACGCAGCATGAGCTCACAGCACTGCTGTTCAGCTTGTGACCACAGAATTGCCTAAAAATGCCATAATATACTTGTTCATGCTTTTATGTAGCGATGATATTATTATAGAAAACCCCTGACTGTGATAAAACTGACCAGGGTTCTGATAATAGCAGGATTGTGGTGATATGTGGTGATGTACAAGAATGTAACAACTCTTGTATATATCTCAAAAAAAAAAAAAAAAATATTTAGCGCTGTGCTCCATGGAGGGAGGAGTAATGCTGTGGGAGGGGAGGGTAGTGGCGTTGTCTTCTGACTATCTGTGTCCACCGTTTATTGACTGCACTCACCATACCAACTTAGTGGTTTGCTATGAACACAAATGTAGATACTTATATATAACGTGTGTATAGAGGGTATAAACAGCAAGGAGTAGGTTGGGAGCCGCCATTTTGGTGAGGGCGGTGGCGTTGTCTGCACAACTTATCATGTTGTTTACTGGTGACCACAATGGCCTTTGGGCACCATACCAGTTTACTTGTACAAGTATTGTGAATAAAACAGGTAGCTATTTATATATAATGTGTGTATATAGCGTAATAACACCACAAACAGTATTGTTGGAGGAGAAATATTAGTGCGTCTGGCCTTGAGGGCGGCAGCCACCAGCTGACTTTGTGTGTAGCTACGTCTTTGTGTCTTTACTCACCATACAAGCTTAGATGTACATTTATGGTGAACAAAACAGGTAAATACTTATATAAAACATCTGTATATAAAAGCAAAAACAGTATGGTGGGTGGAGAATGGTGGCAAGTCAGGTGAGGTGAGGGAGGGAGGGAGGGAGTGGCAGCCAGTGGCGAGCTGCCACTGCCACGCAGCATACCAACTTAGTGGTTCGTTATGGTGAACACGAATATAGATACTTATATATAGCGTCTGTATATAGTGAATAAAAGCAAAAACCGTATTGTGGGAGGAGAATGTGGGTGAGTCAGGTGACTTGAGGGAGGGAGGAAGTAGCAGCCAGTGGCGGGTTGCCACTGGCACTGCCACTCAGCATGCCAACTTAGTGGTTCGTTATGGTGAACATGAATGTAGATACTTATATATAACGTCTGTATATTGTGAATAAAAGCAAAAACAGTGTGGTGGGAGGAGAATGTGGGCGAGTGAGGTGTTGAGGAAGGGTGTGAGTGGCTGGCTGGAGTGTGGCGGTCACTCCTCGTTACTTTTTGACTCATAATGGCAACTTAGTGGTTCGTTATGGTGAACAAAACATGCAGATACTTATATATAACCTGTGTATATAGTGTAATAACCGACAAAGTATTTGTTCACTGTTTGATGAACATAATTGAATGAACAATATGCACACCATATTTGTGAGTACAGCAATGAGTCCCTCATTTTATTATATAAATATATCACACTACACACTATTGAATAATATTACAGGAAAAAAACTACGAAAAATCAATCAGAGACATTGAAATAATTTGGTAATTATCTCTTTGTGGCAACTCCGGCCTGACAGCTGGCGAGCAGCAGACCGCCTGGGACGTACGCTGAGTCAGCGCCTGTTTTTTGCCAGACTTCCCCGCCCTATAGTGGGCAATAGTCTGCGTCGTTTCGCAAACTGTCTCGTGCATTGTTTCACCTCCGGCCTGTTCATGCGCCGCCTGAGCCGTCCTGGTCTTTGGACAGAGTGCTCGCTTTCCTTTCGTCTTCTCGTTTCGTTGTGGCCCCTTCGGTCCAGGATTGTTTTTCCAAGGCTCTTTTCTTGTTGGCTTTGGCCTCTGGGGGTTGGGTAGGGGAGCTTCATGCTCTCCTCTGGTGCAGGGGTTTTTGCTCTTTTGGTCGTGGAGATTGTTTTGTTCGCTTGCAGCCGTCTCCTTCTTTTCTGGCGAAGAATGAGACTGCTGCGTTCCGGAGGAGTCCGTGGGTGTTTGATGCTTGGTTGGTCTGGCCGGGGGTGCATCATGTTTTGTGTCCGGTTGCGGCTCTTCGCCGTTATTTGCACGCCACGGCTTCTGTGTCCGGGGACGCGCTGTGGGTTGATCCGGTTTCGCTTCTTCCCTGTTCGCGGGTTCGGGTCTCCCAGGTCGTCTGCAGGGTTATTAAGTTCAGCCAGCCTGCGGTCTATCCCTGTGCCCATGACATTCATAAGTTCGCGGCTCTTGCTGCCGTCTTTGGGAATATGTCTTGGTCTGATTTTCGGGCGTGGAGATTTTGGCGGTCGAACAGGGTCCTGGCTGCTTGTTACCTTGTGAATGTTCAACGCTGTTTTTTTCTTATTTCGTAAACAAATCTGCAAATTATTGCTTGGTTTTCAAAATCTCTTAATGACTGATTCTACTTTGTGACGACCATTGACCATGTGTTTTAAATTACTCTTCAAAAGTAACACCAAAAATCTTATGCTTTGCATTTCTTTAGTTCATATCATGGAATGTTGGCTCTTTTAGTTCTCGTATCATTTATGAAAATGATTGTAGTTACATAATAAAATTACTGTATATGAATTATATTTTTCAGGAAATGGACTGCAGTCGTAATGGCTTATCCACAAGTGAGGCCCTCGGTCGCTTGCATGAGGATATTGCCAGTGCTTTGGATGAATATCAGAAATCAGAAGCGGAAAAGTAAGTAATTACCTAAGTGTAGTTACGGGATGACAGCTATGCTTGTGGAGTCCCGTCTTCTCAGTACTCTTTGTCGCATAACGGTTTGAAACTACAGACAGTTTTGACCTCCACCACCACCTCGCCTAGCATGTTCCAGCCGTCTACCACTCTGCAAAGGAAAACGTTCAAATATTTTTCCAGAACTTTTGTTTCCTTAGCTTGAATCTGTGTCCTCTTGTTCGTGAAGCTGCAGGTTTCAGGAATTTCTCTTTGTCAATTTGGTCATTTCCTGTTAGTATTTTGTAAATGGTGATCATATTACCTCTTTCTGGGGGGAGCCCCTACGGCTCCCTAGAGCTATCCAGGCTGATAAGGATATCCCTAATTTTGGCATCAATCGATGTGGCCTAGAACTCTAGATTTTATTTATGGGGAGGACACTTAGTTCTTTCTCTGCTTTACGAGTGTGGGGTGGCTTTGAGTGGCTCCGCCTCCACCTTTATTCTACACCTCATCTTCTCTGGTTCACGCATCTCTGGACATGATCCTCTAGTGTTGTTCCCGGAATGTTACACGGCTCAGCTGTAGTGACGCGATAGTGTCTATGCTTTACAGGTGAGAGTATATGTTCTGGTGACAATGTCAGCCAGGCACTGGTTCTCGTTTTTTGGACGAGTGTTGTCTGTTGCGAGTTGATCGGCTATTTTGCGTGCATCTTAACGTGGCCTTCCCATGTGTTTCTCTACATGCTTCTCTGCCCCAGGTTAAGGCCTGATTGTGGGGGAAGGGTTCCATGGAATATCAGTTGGACACTCCTTCCTTGCCTGTCTGTTTTCTTGATGCTCTTTCCTTGCTGGGCACTCGTACTTTGCCTCCATCATGGCTCTCTGGACACTCATTCCTTGACTCAGTTCTTGCTTCTGGTCACTCTTCCTTGGTCATTGTTTAGTGCTTGGCTGCACTGTATACATTGGAGTGTCTGTATATTTACTTGCTCGTGTACATTTCATTTTCATTGCATTCCCTACCTCTATACTACACATTGTTGTGTGTCTTAGTATGTGCTTATTGGCTATACTAGTGTTGGTGCTAGGTTGGACTGTGTACATGTTCAGTTCCCTGTGCTTGGACAGCCCCACTGTTCAGTTGTAGAACCTGGGTTCTTTCATCTTCTTGTATGTCCCCACCAGCTTCTGTGTTGCAATGTCTGCTGGTGGCTGTAGGTTCTATTCACCCATCTCCTGCCCCTCCTGCTCCTTTTTTGTTGGGACAGGGTGAGCTAAGGTTACGGCCCTGGCTACGGCCTTTTTCTTGTGTTCCTTTGCCGGAAAGTACATTTTGCCTTAGTGTCCTCACCTAGTTGTCCTCACCTAGTTGTGCTTGAGGGGGTTGAGCTCTGGCTCTTTGGTCCTGCCTCTCAACTGTCAATCAACTGGTGTACAAATTCCTGAGCCTATTGGGCTCTATCATATCTACATTTGAACCTGTGTATGGGGGTCTGCCTCCACCGCATCACTGCCTAATGCATTCCATCTGTTCACTACACTGACAATGAAAACATGAGGTGCATTTTACGCGGACTGTTCTCGTGACTCATGCCTCAAAGTTCTGGGCCAAGCCTAGTGGCATACCTCTGTACTTTTCAAGCTTCGCCTTGTGCTTGACAAGGTACGGGCTCAATGCTGGGGGCCTGCATACTCCAAGATTGATCTTACATATGTGGTATACGAGATTCTGAATGATTCCTTACACAGGTTCCTGAGGGAAGTTCTGATGTTAGTCTACCGGAGACATGTAGTGTGGTACACGTCCAGGGTAGTTACATTTCTCTGGTACTAGCATGCGTCATTCTGCCCTGCTGGTGCCGTTTGCACTGCTCCTGCGAGTTGCGGTGTAGCTGTTCTTCACCTCATGTTTCGCGTGTCGGCTCGTGGTGCTCTCTTCTTCTTTGGCCTCTGCCTGGGCCCTGGCTCTTTGGTTTTTGTCGCCGAATTTGTCCTTGCTGTTTGCAGAGTCTACGGTTCGGCTCTTTCGGCAAGCGGCGGTTTCTCGTTCTCAACTGTTCTTGGCCTTGTTGGCCCTTTCGGAGTCCCAGGGGGTTCCTCCCGGACGGGGTGTACCTGCTCACACGGGTTGGTTCTTGCCCGGCTCACTGGGTTTGGGTTCCTGGTTCCCTGGCGGACGTTTCTTGCCAGCCTTCTTGCTTCTTCTGGTTCCTTGCCAGCTTTTGTTTTATTCGCTACTTGCTCAGTGTCCGGTTCCAGTTTTTTTCCCTGGCTCCGCCTCTTCTCATGGTTGGTTTAGGTCGTCGACAGGGTTCTTACGTCTAGCTGGCCTGCGGTTTCTTCCTGTGCCCTTGCCGTTCGTAAGTTTGCTCCTCTTGATGCCGTCTTTGGTTACATGTCCTGGGCTGACATACGGGCAGGGGGTTTTTGGCGGTCAAACAAGGTCCTGGCTGCACGCTACCTCGTTGCCGTTCCTGGGCCTAGTCGGGCCTGTGTCGCTTGGGTTGGCGGCTACAGCCTGTCTCGGCTTTGAGTTCAGGTGTGGAGCACTGTTCCCTCCTCCTAGGGAACGTCCCCTTCATTATTTTGTCTTTGGTGAAGTAGCTCTGGAGAGCCAAAGGGGCTCCCCCAGAAAACCAGCGTTGAGTGTAATGAAACGCCGTTTTCTAGGTGAGTCCTAGAGGCTCCCCGGCAGTCCTCCCTCCCTCCCTTCAGTCGGCATTTTTTTTGTGTATTTTGATATCCAGCCTCGAAACTGATGGTGTGGATCGCCGGCGTGGGGGTCTGGGGCTCCCCCTTCCCCCTCCCTGGGAGGGGGGAGCTGCGCAGATATGCGGCGCGGCTCGTGTAATGTCATGCTTGTTTGCTTGTTTTCAATTGGGAGTTCCGTCCACTCGTTTGTCTATTTTTGTTGTTTTTAACCAGAATAGGGGTTTGTTTTGTGGCGCTTACCTTTCTAGGTGCCTGTCCCAGTCGATGGCAGATATAAAATGCTCCAAAATCACATGTGCATTCTATGGGACATTGCTCCCTGTGCCTCTCTGAGGGGGCCAGGTTCTGGCTCGTGGTCCCCCAGTAGGCCTAGAACTACACCCACATTGACTGATGCCAAAGTTAGGGATATCCATATCAACCTGGATAGTTCCGGGAGCCTCCGGGACTCGCCCAGAAAATGGCGTTTCATTGCTTTCAACGCTGGTTTTTTATTCTATCTTCTAGTTTAACCCTTAACATGCTAGGGGTATAATATCCTTTCTTCCCCACAGGCGCATGTAATTTTGAAAAAAAAAAAATATTTTTTCTTCCTAACCTGTTAATTTGTGTTCACTGATCACGGGAAAAATAATAAAAAAATCGTAAGTGGCATATATTGCCCGCTATAGGGCGGGGAAGTCTGGCAAATTATAGGCGCTGACTCAGCGTGCGTCCCAGGCGGTCTGTTGCTCGCCAACTGTCAGGCTGGAGTTGCCACAAAGAGATAATTACCTAATTATTTCAATGTCTCTGATTGATTTTTCATAGTTTTTTTGCTGTAATATTATTCAATAGTGTGTAGTTTGATATATTTCTATAATAAAATGAGTGAATCATTGCTGTACTCAAAAATATGGTGTGCATATTGTTGATTCAATTATGTTCATCAATCAGTGAACAAATACTTTGTCAGTTATTACACTATAAGCACAGGTTATATATAAGTATCTGCATGTTTTGTTCACTATAACGAACCACTAAGTAGCTATTATGAGTCAAAAAGTAACAAGGAGTGACCGCCGTGTACCAGCCAGCCACTCCCGCCCTCCCTCAAGTCATCTGACTCACCCACATTCTCCTCCCACAATACTGTTTTTGCTATAATTCACTATATACAGACGTTATATATAAGTATCTACATGTTTTGTTCACCATAACTGTACATCTAAGCTTGTATGGTGAGTAAAGGCACAAAGACGTAGGACCTCACACAGTCAGCTGATGGCTGCCGCCCTCAAGGCCAGACGCACGAATATTTCTCCTCCAACAATACTGTGTGGTGTTATTACGCTATATACACACATTACATATAAATATCTATCTGTTTTATTCACCATACTTGTACAAATAAACTGGTATGGTGCCCAAAGACCATCGTGGTAACCAGTAAACAACACCGTCATCTGCACGGTGGCGTTGTGCAGACGACGCCACTGCCCTCACCAAAATGGCGGCTCCCAACCTTCTCTTGCTGTTTATACCCTCTATACACATGTTATATATAAGTATCTACATTTGTGTTCACCATAGCGAACCACTAAGCTGGTATGGTGAGTGCAGTCAATAATAGGTGGCCACACACAGTCAAAAGACATCGCCACCACCCTCCCTCCCACAGCATTACTCCTCCCTCCATGGCGCACAGCACTAAATATCACCACAATCCTGCTATTATCAGAACCCTGGTCAGTTTTATCAGTCAGGGGTCTTCTGTAGTAATATCATCGCTACATAATAGCATGAACAAGTATATTTTGGCATTTTTAGGCGATGCTGTGGTCACAAGCTGAACAGCAGTGCTGTTAGCTCATGCTGCGTGCGTCAGGCTTGGTTGCTTGCTCAATACTGAGGCCAATAACACCCGGGAGTTTGGCCCACGATTTTTAAAAAAAATGGCGTCTGTTTACAAGAGCCCTGATGAAGGTGTGGTGAACCCCGTGTATCCGCGGGCCATTTAAATCTTGCGTAGTACTCCAACACGTCATATGACGTGATGTGCAGTTGACTGGAACAATGTCCAACATGTCATATGACGAGATGCGCACTTTAAGGGTTAAGCCCTGAGTCCTGTGAGTGTTGCTGCTTGCTTGTGACTCAATTTACCCAATCTTCTGATGATTCTATTCAGGTACAGGCTGCGAGTGTGATGCAAGCTAGGTTTCGTCAGTTGCAATGCGCTCCGTTGGTTGCTCACCCAACGGCCCTCAGAGAGGACTCGGCCCTCAGTCCTGCTGTGAAGGACCTTGAGGCTGGGGAGGGGCTG